GGATAACCTTAACTGTGGACAGAATCCAACATGTTGTATGTGGAGAGTCCCATTGGAGTTGGCTTTTCATACTCAAACACTAGCTCTGACTACATTTCTTGGAACGACACTACAACTGGTTAGTGTTTTTTTTTTCTAATTCTCTGTAGTATAACTTTAAGAATAATTGTAACTTACTTAATCACCTGGTGGGTTTTAATTAGTTCTAATATTTTATTTCTTTTGGTTCTTCACAGCTGATGATAATTTGAAGTTTCTTCTTAACTGGTTGGAGAAATTCCCAAGATACAAAGACTCAGACCTCTATCTGGCGGGAGATAGTTATGCAGGTAACAAAGAAGATTCTTTCATACTCCGAAATTTAAAAATTTATGATTCTTCAGTTGCTGTTTCATTTTCCCAAAATGGATTAAGCTTCCTAACATGTTCCTAGAAGCCATTTAGATGGGAAAATCTATGATGCCGGAAAGACATCATAGTTGAGAACTCTAATACGCTTGATTGTTCTTTTGTGTGTTGGTTTGTCTCTGAACTGATCAAGAATACTGTATTTGAGTGTAGGCCACTTCATTCCACAGCTTGCTTCGCTATTGCTGGAACACAACAAGAATCCCAACATCGGACCCATCAAGCTGAAGGGCGTTGCTGTAAACCCATGAACTTCTTACATATTACTGTTCAATTATTCTATTCATGAAATTTTCTTTGAACTGAGACATGATTTGATTGCTTGTCTGGTTGTAGCTTGGGAATCCACTTCTTGACTTAGACATTAGCATGGAATCTGCAGACAACTTGTGGTCGCATGGAGCAATCTCAGATGAGACATTAATGCTGGAGAAGACAGTGTGTAAGATATCAAGATACTACAAGGAGTTGTTTGTCTATAATAATGTGTCCAAGGAATGCAGTGATGTGCTTGATAGAATCAATAATGAGGTTGGTGATGATCTCGATCGCAACGACCTGCTCTCTTTCAAGTGCTTACAATCGACCAAAGTGGAGCAATTTAGAACCAGAGCAATAAAC